GGTGACCCGCATGCAGGCGAGGTAGTGCTTGAGGATCCTCACCCATGTGGTCCATCGTTCGGGGTGGGCCAAGTCAAAAGGAGCAATGCCCTCGTGCGAGGTTCCGGTTGGCGCGGCGGTGGCGACCCCGGAGGATGCGTTGGGCCCGGAGGATGAGGAGGTAGAAGCAGAGGAGGGAGCGGAGGTGGCGTTTTGCTCCGACATCTCCGTGGATGCTCTTGGACGCTCGGGGATCAGGTGAGGCGGATGCGCTGGTCGAGCGGGCTAAGCCTGCGGCGTGGCTAGGCGGCGGCAGCGACTGGGCGTGTAGAGCGGTGCTGCTGCCCAGGGGTCAGCAGCGTGCGAAGCGGAGCCGGGAGCGGAGCGATGAGCAGTTGCCGGAAGCTGGGGAAGCTGGGATGCGGTCCCCGGAGAGTCTCGGCGTCAGGCTCGGTGCGGTGCTCGTGTTGGCGTCCGGGTCTTGTTCATGGGGTTGTGAATCCCACCTTCGTCGCCAGTGAAAAGTACTCAGAACGTGGAGTGATTCAGCAGAGTACTTTATTAGATCAGGAACAAGACAAAGAAACCAGCTCGCAGGCCGGTTTATATGCGTTCAGAAAACCCGCCACCAGCACACCCAAACACACCCCCCACTCCCGATAGGCTATTTACAGTAACCGGGCGACCATTGGTCTCCCGGCTGGGAAGCTGGCCCTTTGATTGGGCCGGCTAGGATCCTACGGATCCTTTGTCTTTCGACTGAAGCTACTGAGGAATATTGCCTGGCCAGCCCAGGCAAGTCCGGGCATGTCAGGCTGAATGCACTACACGTGGTAATGGCGACAGTACATTACACTCACAAAGTAGAATTTTTGCTCACAAGACTCCACAGCTTAGAGGGAGCATTGCCGATGACTCTGCTTAAAACTTGGGGCGTGTAATCCGTGTGTCGGCCAGCACTCTGGAAACTCGGTAGTATTAATATGGAGTTTCTAGAGCACTGTTTTTTTGCCTGAATGTGACTTTGGCTGGCACATGGCCCAACACCATTTCCACCCCCTTGTGTTTCTCCCACTGGCAAAAAGAGATGAGGGCAGGTGGCAGGACCCTTCAGCCAGAAATTCGCTACCAGAAGTGGGCATTTGGCATCCCTGGATTGGCCACTGCTGGGGCAGGGAAACTACAGCGATACCTGCCATCTGGAAGTCCTGTTGCTACTATGTTGTACTGGTAGCCACAGCAGCACATAGTATCTTCAGCTACAGAGGGCACCAGTGTCCCCTTCTAAGCTGAGTTAGTGTGAGCTAGCTCACAGTTTTTTAGCCTCCAGCTCACACATTTTTGTCTTAGCTCAGGAAGGATGGCTCCAGAGTCAACTAATTCATGCAGTAGTCAAATCGCTCACTCACAACTTTAATGCCAGTAGCTCACAAAGTAGAATTTCTGCTCACAAGACTCCACAGTTTAGAGGGAGCACTGGATGGCACTGTAGTATTTGTTAATGCTGTGTTTTGGAATGATCTGATGATTGGGGCAATGAAGAGCTCGAAATTTATCTGTAATATTTATCTGTTCCTGCAATGATTTGCCATAATCTAATACAATTTGTTTCTTTAAGTAAGAATTACAGTACAGCAAATTAATCTAGAATATTTTATATTTTTAGTCTTGTCCCTCATTATCAATAGGAAAACGAAACGTGTAAGCCTACTCAGACCAGCAACACTTCGGTCAGCAAACAGTTAAGCCTGAACCCTCTAAATTTTTGAATGGTACCCCTCCCTTCTGTGCAACTAAATCCGGCAGACAAGCATTTCCAGTAACCAACGAAAAGGGGCGTGGAAATATCTCTACGACTGACGTCTCATCTAGCCTATTGCAGACCCCGCTGTTGCCGTCTGTCAAAATGCTGGGAGATTGAAAAAGGCGGGCCTGAACCTTGACCGGCGCTGCCTTTCTCCAATAGTTATGTACCGTTCCAGCCCAGGTGTCCAATGTGTTGCGGCTCTGAGAGTTGGGGGTGGTAGTTTGGTGGTGGAGGAAACTGGCGGGGTGGGGCTGGCCCCGGTGAAGGGAGGCCCGGAGGCCGGAGGTGGGAAAGTCGAGAGACTTGGGAGGTGTGCGTGGAAGCAGTGGGGGAAATTGTGCGGCGGGTGAGTCTGCGAGAGGGGATCGGGCGTACGAGGCAGGAAGTGGAGTTTTGTGGTTGATGTTGTTGCCTTCGAGGGGTGAGATGGAGGGGGGGGGCTTGAGGCGGAGCCCCCAGGGGAAGCGCCCGTGTGAGGCTGGTCTGAGGAGAAGTGGTGGCTGGGCGGGGTCTGAGCCCCGGGGAGACCGGAGGGGTGCTCGAGGCGACGGTGAAAGTGCCGGCTGGAGGAAAGGAAGGGGTGGCAGTCGTGCGTGAGGCGCCGCCGTGCTTCTTGATCTGAGAAGGGAAGGTGAGCCCCACTAGATCTGGCCTCGCATCCTGTTTCTGATACGCAGACCTCCCAGATGTTTCCAGTGATCACACAAGGCTGGCATATGTAGGAATGCTGCCGAAGCGTTTAACCCCTTCAGAGGGGGCCCTTATGCAGTTCCAGGACTTCCATGAGGAAAATGTTCTTATGTTCATAAGGTGGTGGTTTTAGCGTTGTGCTTTTATCCTTTTTTAAAAGAGAGAAATACTCGTTTGTGTCTGTGTGTGTCTTGCCACGACAGGGATACGGGCATAAATCAAGTGGGGGGAAAGATGGGGATTTGCGGGTTTTCACAATGTCGTTAAAAATAAAAAAGATAAATGTAAAATTAGTGCGTCTTCATCCAGTGGCAGCTTTTTGAAATAGTTTTGCATATGGGTAAGGGGTCCACTCACTGTTGTTCTTATAGACCAAGTCAGGGGTCGTTTCGTAGAAAAAGAGCTAGGGGAACTCATTAGAATAACTCATTAGCATATGCCACACCCCCTGACATCACCGGAAGTGTGTCATAAGACCACACACCCCGCCCCCAACAGGCACTTCGTCATGTGCCCCGCCCCCCACTACAGTGTATGTCTTTCATAGGCGATCCCCCCCCCCAAAAAAATGACCTCTGGACCAAGTACATGAGAGAATCTCACTTCTGTGATCATTCAAGCAAGATATGGTTATTGCAGATAAATCTGGGGAGTAGATTTAAATGATTGGGGTGAGAGGGTGTGATCCAGCTCCAAAGTGTGCCATTTCCCTGATGTTTTCTTCTTTGGCTCTGACGTTTTAAAAAAAGGGATTACACTTGAAATACATCCCAGAGTAAGATTTATTCTGGCCATAATTCCTGAAATACTTTATGGTCTTTAAGTAAATGATAGGTTTATCTTCCTTTAAATGTTAAATCATAATTCATTGTCTCTTGGATCAGCTCTAAAATCGTCAAGACAAACAATAAGCATTACTTTAAATATATCCAGAGGAAAAACCTAGTCAGAGAAGCAGATCTGTATGACCAAATAATAAAAGGATTGCTGAAGGAACATGGGGAAATGGCAGTATGGAAAGTATAGGGTAGGGGTGACCAAACTTGCTTAATGTAAGAGCCACATAGAATAAATGTCAGATGTTTGAGAGCTGCAAAACATGAACAAATATTACACACACATTTTTATTGAAAAATATGGAAATTTGCTTTTTTAACATTAGGTGAGACTACCAAAAACAAAAGGTAAAAACAGATATTGATAATATTTAATTGTCCAGGGATATTTATTTGTTTGCTAATTACATTTATTTGTCAGAGAGAGAGAGAGATGAAAAGAAAGCAACTTTAAATGTGTTCTCCAAGCCCCCACGCCCTCATGCCAGCTAGCTTGGCTTGAAGAAGGGTTTTAATTAGACAAATGCCTTCTCTAAGATGGCTGATGGGAGAGGGGGGCTTTGAGAACACATTTAAAGTTAAAGTTGCATTCTTTCTGCTCCCCCTCACCTCAAGCCTACCCAGGGAGGGGAACACTGGATGGGGAAGGGAAGACCAATCGGGGCATGCCTCCCCTTTGCTTTCCCAGCTGTCCTGCTGGGAGCCGCACAATATGTGTGAAAGAGCTGCATGTGGCTCCCCGAGCTGCAGTTTGGCCACCCCTGGCAATAGGAGATGTACCTAGAGCACAGCCACTATTTTCAGGAAAGGAGTCCGAAGAACGGAGTCAAATTGAAGTGACGAGAGAGGCCTATAGGGGAAGTTTAAAACCAATAAATTTCCAGGTTCTAATGGAATGTACCTAAGTGTTCCTGGGGAACTCAAATGTGAGATTGTTGATCTACTATCCTGTATATGTAACTTGTCACTAAAGTCAGTCACTGTACCAGAAGACTGGATGATAGCAATTGTTACCCCAATTTTTAAAAATGGGTTTAGAGAGGGACCAAAAAATTACAGGCCAGTTAGCCTAATGTCTGACCCAAGCAATCTTAGTAAGAACTGTTATCAGGGATAGAATTATTAGGCACATAGAGGAACGACGCCTGCTGAGGGAAAATCCATGTGGCTTCTGCCAAGGCAAGTCATTCTTTGCCAGCTTTTTAGAGTTCTTTGAAAAAGTGAACATGTAGATAACTGTGACTGGTAGATAGATATTATATATTTGAACTTTCAAATGGCTTTTTATGAGGTATTTCACTGAAGACTTCTGAATAAGCTAAGCAATCATGGGATAAGAGAGCAGGTCCACTTATGGATTAAAATCTATTAAAGAACAGGAAGCAAAAAATAGGAATAAATGGACAGTTCTCCCAATGCGAGGGAAGTAAGCAGTGGTGGTGGAAAATGCCGTCAAGTCACAGCTGATTTATGTCAACCCCATGGAGTTTTCAAGGCAAGAGACCGTTCAGTCGTGGTTTGCCGTTGCCTGCCTCTGCGTCATGACCCTGATGTTCCTTGGAGGTCTCCCATCCAGTTACTAGCCAGGAGGACCTACCCTGCTTAGCTTCCAAGATCTGGCTAGCCTGGGCTATCTAGAGCAGGGCAAATAAACAATGGGGTCCCACAAAGATTGGTACTGGCAACAGTGCTATTGAATTAGTTCATAAATGAAACGGGGTGAGCAGTGTAGGTCAAATTTGCAGATGGCATAAAATTATTCAGGATAGTGAAAACCAAGGCTAACTGGACAGCTCCAAGAGGCTTTCTCCAGATTGGGTAAGGGTGCAAAAATGTGGCAAATGAAGTTCAGTGTAGATAAGTATAAAGCACCGTGACCAGGATAGCCCAATCTCGTCAGATCTCAAAAGCTAAGCAGGGTTGACCCTGGTCAGTATTTGGATGGGGAACTGCCAAGGAATACCAGGGTTGCAACATGGAGCCAGGCAATAGCAAACAACCTCTGAATGTCTCTTGCCTTAAAAAACCCAACAGGGGTCACCATAAGTCAGGTGTGACTTGACTGCAAAAAAAAAATTGGGAGGTGATGCACATTGGAACAAAAAAATCCCACATTCAAGGACATGCTGATGGAGTCTGAACTTACTGAGACTGAGAGGGAAAGA